AAAAATGAATTGATTTCATTGCCTCCGTTTACCATCCCATAAGCAAAGTATTCATATGAGAAACACTTAATAAAATATATTCATACTCTTTAAAACTTTATCTAACGGTAATCGACACGAAGACCCAAGGAAAATTATTTTATAATTGTTAATTTAACTTGCTTTCGCGTTTTTTACTGAATTAACTGAACTTTTGATAAAAGCACAAAATTCACTCCCAGAAGAGCTTGTTTTCATTTATTGTATTATTCAGGCACTGCGTCATTATTCAAACATTCGTTGGCTGCAGTAAATGTTGTATAAGTGTACGACACTGGCTTGCCCAATTCGAGCCACTATTTCTTGTTATTTAGTAATATTTTCGCATATCCTTCATTCTCAAATGATTACGTAAGTTATGTGATTTTACTTGACGACTTTAATTTGCAATTGATTCTTATTTCGAAACATGATCATCCAGTGAACCTAGTTCTCCATGCCCAGGGGCAAATCCAGACGATCATTTTCGAAGGGGCTGTTATAGAATTTTGTTAAATAATAAACATTTGTTATTACATTGTATATTATTTTATAGTGTATATATGATATTATATAATATTATTTTTTAAATAATTAGATAATTCTAATATAAATAAATATTTTAAATCAATTGTTACTCATAGAAAAGGCAACAAACGAAAAGTAGGCCTTTAGAGAGGAATGGTCCCCATGCCACACACCCCAAATTACCGATGCATCGGAGTTACAATGTATATAAATTAATTTAGTTAAATTTCTCTCATTTTTATTAAAATAAATAACACATTTATTTCAAATAATTACCATCACCAAGAAATCGAAAGAAAAAAAACACAATCTTTAATACAATATGAGTATACAAAGCTATAAAGTTTGCAAGTATTTCAAATTCATACAAGAAACTGTCATCATGCGCAAACGATAAGCCACCATAAATGCAAAATATTAATATTAATAGTTTCATAAATATTGGCTGAACATGCTGAGGCCCGAAAGGAAGACAGTGGCGCAATCTGTTAGACGACAGAGGAAATATGTGTCGAATCCAGGTCGAGTCTACCGATTTTGAAACCAGTCTATCAGTATCCGCTCGTAGGAGCTCCAACAAAAAATCTCGACATTCCATGATCTTGCAACATGAAATAATTATTTTTAATTTTGAATTAGGAACATTTAGTAGTTTCATCGTCATCTTATCATTAATCGAAGCCATCTTATCTTTCAGTGGACCGAATCTGAGCTATTTGTTCGAAATTTCATTGAGTGGTAATTAGCGCATATAAATACGGATCCTACTCATGATGCTAATACTCAGTGATTAGAAACGACTCGTACACTATTGTGAGTAGGCGAATAGTATCACCTCTGCCAAGCCCTGGGCTGAAGGGCTGTTCTCACACTCGCAGACCAAAGCATAACTTACGTAATCGCTCTGAATCTGCTGAACTTCCCTTCATTTGACATTTTTACCGTACCAGGGGTAATTTCCTCACTCATGGGCGCTCAGTAGGATTCAAAGATCACTTAAAGGGCTTATGATAAACTTGCGAATCATTTGCACCCGTAATACACTACGCCAAGGAAACGGACCGTTTCTTTGTCTCCTTGGAACTGTGAACGGTGGTTTTCACATCGGTTGATTTAGAATTTACGATGCAATACCTGGAATTTCATAGACATTTTTCAACTACGGGAATTAAAAATTGGCAGAAATATTTTACTTGTTTCTGATGTTTTCCCGGAAAAGAGCTATTATCACAAGTGAGTTGCAGGTGAAAAGTAGCTGAATTTAAAACAAAGTTTCACATTTTATTATACTTTTCTGCGTAACATTTACAAAAAAAAATTTGCACTTTGCGAGGAACTTCTTTCACAATAATACCCCGAAATTCGATGTTTATGCCAATTTAAACCAAAATTCAATTTCAGACTAAATGCATTGTTTGTTTTTTTACAGAAATATGTAGTATAAAATGATAAAAAATACATTGAATATAATTTTCTAACCAACTACAGGATATTGTACGAGTATAGCCTGTTCAGACTGCCACCACTATTAAGCAGCCACCCCTATTAACAATCTTTTTTCGTGGATCCGATTGATTTTTCTACACGGCTCATGTAAAAATCCCTCTTTTGAGCTCCTACTCAAAAAACTGGCTACATGGACCCGCTTCGTAGACACATTTGTAGATTAAGTGGTCATTTCTAGCGACTGTAGTAAAATAAGAAGTAGAAGAACGATGGATAAACTGTTGATTCGGTACCTTCCTGCGAAGGTACGCGTTGTCAGATTATTTAAAACAGTAACTGAATGTCTCTTCTGGCAGGGGTTCAGTTTCTCTGTAAGGTAAAAACAGATAATTTGAATAAATACCTCCATGAAATAACAACGCCTTCGCTTCACCGGAAATTTCTCATGAAGATTTCTAATCCCTTCTTCCCCTCTATAGGAACTTGTTAACGGCCGGCGGAGTGTGCCGCGTATGCAAAATCGATCGGATGGTCATTCACAAAATATATCGAGGGACAGCGCGGCCCAAGAATGTGAATTGAATTTTGAAGTGGTTTGCCAGAGAGTTCGTTTCGATGGAGATGGAAAATGTGTTTCACGAGGTCAGGGACGTTTAGCACTCGCCGAGAGAAGGCATGTAATCCTAAAAACCTAGAAACGTTTCAGGTAGAAAACTTCAGCTCTTACGGTAGGACACATATTTAGTAAAATTATAAAAAACAAAGGGCACATTTTTGTGAAATTTCATTGCAACTAAAAAGAGATGTAAAACTCTTCTAAGCAAACATCTCTGCAAGGCATTTTTGTAAAAAGTTAGTAAAATCCATACGAGAACAGACTTGTGCCTGTATTTTATATTTCAAGTGCAGATAGTTATTTGTTGTATTTTGTGGTATAAAGTAAATAAAATTATTTTACGGAAACCATTCTTTATTTTACAATATTTATCCCGACAGGATAAGATCTATGCTTGCCATAACCTCTTAACTCATAAACTTGATTACGAGGCCTCCTCTATTAACAGCTAGTTTTGCCGAAAGCATTAGTAGTCGCGAGAGAGATTCATATGCGTGCGATCTACGTTTCATCTAGGGATTGTAGATTTATTTTTCTCGAGCTTTCAAGTACTCCCAAAGTCTGCTACGAAAATGTTTCATCCATAACTACCATTTAAAATCTTCAAGCTGTTTTTTTTTTTAAGAAAAAATGACAACGGAAACATAAAAATGTACATTGATTGCGCTTTCATTCATCGCCATTACTGCATTAGTGGCGCCTCAAATAAGTATAACCGAGACACGATGTCAATCTTATTAGAAATAATATTGAGGAGGCATGTGTTACCAGAAAGCACATCCATTTAAGCATTGCTATTTTAGTTGTACTCCATTTTTAAAAAAAGTACCAGGCACTTTCATTTAACCATCAGTTCTATTGATTCTACACTATATAAGTCATTTCTAGTATAGAAATCATATCAGTGTGGTCTGCACTGTGGGATGGACAAAGGTTTATTTTAATCTGTCTAGAAACGCTTCGTAGCTGCACTGCACTTTCTCGACGATTTATCATATCCAAAACATGAAGAAGCAAGTACTTATGGTGAGACGTAAAACGTACGCTTTATTTTCAGTAAGTATAGCAAATCTACTTTGTTTGAATACAAAAAAAAAACGAAAATTTTCCAAAATTTCAATTATTTTTTATAATTTAATGAAATAGATGTGAGAATAATAATGAACCGAAGTGCAACAAAATAATGTCATTGTCTCCTGCTTCAGTTTCTGAAACTCATCTCTCCGGATAGGGACATGATCTTCCAAGTCTATCAGCAACGTATTCCGGAAAATTGCAAGATTTTTTTTCTTCTTTTTTTTTCCCTCTCTTTCAAGTGATGTACCGAAGGGACAAAATTTGTAAAGTATGAAGTCACGTTTTACGGGTCTCCGTGCCTCTGATGAACTAAAAGGTATCGATAATATTAAGAGGAACTTGATTATTTTGTAATCTACAATGATTCACCATGTATTAGTACTCAAAGGCGTGAATCTACAGTTGAGGATACAATTGCTTTTGGGAAATATTAACACCATACTTGCATTAAAAGGTCAATAATGTTGCCGCGGTCGCCGCTGCCATCGCCAAATCCTTATTTTTTCTTCTTTAACGATTTTCCAGGGTTATATGGATTTATGAGAAAGAGTAATACTTTCGAATTAGTAGCCTGCAAAGGCATCCCTATTTTTGGTGTGATGTTTCAAAATCATTGGCAATCATTGTGACGTATTAGAAGAAAATCATTGTGAAACACATATTTTCATGGTTACGAGTACTGATTAAGATAGCGTGTAAATTTGTTGTGTATAGTGTAGAGAATAGAACTACGAGCACCATCAACACAAACACACCGGATGTCGAGTCAGTTGATATTGTTAAAAAAGGCAATGTTTATATTTTGTATGTATATTTTTGTGGTATTATTGCAATATTATGAATCTATGTGAACTGAAACGGAGTGGCTAGTTTTTAATGCGTAAATTCAAAAAGGTTTCCTAGATTTAAATTGCGCGAATTATGTACAGTAGACCGCAGTGTTAACATTTTACTGTGATAAATTTCCCAACTTACATATTATGTTATTGCCTATCTTATTTTCAAAATAACATATCTGAAGTATCAGAACGGATTCTGGTATTACAAATATTGTAATATTAATAATAATAATATAGTTTTGTTTGTACAGTGAAAACATTACTATGTATTTATTTATTACTGGCATGTCTCATACTGGTATATGTCGATGTTGTACAGTATCTCTATAATAATGTTCCCTCCCAGAGACTGTCCAAGTGCAACTAGAACCTTGGAACAACCTAGGGAAGTTTCAAGAGTTACAGTTCAAGTAAAAGTAGAAGATTGTATACAAAGAGCAACATAGCCAGCGCCACTCGATGGTTATCAAATGCACCTAGCGCAATTCCATTCCTTTTCTCTCAAATTCTTTCGCACCCAGCCTCTAACGCGTTGGGTGTCCCCACAAATCGCTTCACCCTGAAGATTCCGTCCACAAAACACATCTTCTGTTTCTGGTACTTTAAACGTATTCTAGTTCTCAACTCATGCGACTAGACTTTTCACTTTGCTTTCGAAGCGATTGCCAAAATCTATTTACTAGATGGATATCAACTTTTTAAACACTATTCAATAAGCATGCATTATTTTTTTAACAAATGAACGTTAGCTGTAAGTCATCTTTTTAATTCAAATAGAAAATTGATGCAATATTCATTTGTTTCACGAGATCATTAGAGATCACACAGTGGGTGGCCAATAAATTATGAATTTTCATTTTTTTAATCGAATCTTTATTTTAAACATGATTTGAAGTCTTCAACATAAATCAACATTGTGGTTGAGAAGATTAATGTCCTATTTATGTCAATGTTCTATTTATAATACATGTCATAGGTATAGTGCTATTAAATGACAAATATTTAACGTAATACAATATTCCATCTAATCCGCCAATTTTGTTTCTCCATAAGACTGCATCTCACTTGTACTTTCCTCCCATACGTCACACAGATTTTTATTATTTTTTATGCTAAAAGTATCTTTAAAACTTTAACACCTATGTATTGAAATGTAATATGCATCTGTGCGAGTCAAGTATGAAAAAAAACTGTTTCGGCATCATATTGATTTGGTACCGTTAAATGATGCAGTATTTCACAGTCGAAATGGAGGAAGGATAAAGTGGCTTTCATTGACAATGAGAAGTTGAGATGATAATCATCAAATACACTTAACTGGAATTATATGAAATTGCACCTAAATGCAACAGTTCACCTCAGTGTAACATCCGAATATAAAATATGGTAAAATAGGTGGATACAAAATGTCTCAACAGTTGAGAAAGAGGAAACTATCACTTGTGAAAACCAAAGCTCTCGGTGCTAATGTGCACAACGGTGCTAATGTGCACAACAAAGACTTTGCAATGATGCTGTGCCATTATGCAATTCAAATTGTTTCCAGAACTGTTCCCAAAAGTCTTCATGAGTTTGTTTCCAAGGCTTGTCGCCTTTCAGAAAAAAATAAATTCAGATCAGCATTCAGGAAGAAGTGTTTGTTGTATGGAATAATACATTGAAAGCTTGAACTAACGTTGATTTAGCAAAGGACATTAAGAGATTAATATTACGTCTTGTAAACACATGAATGCATATCAATGCATGTTCTTGTGCTCACCTGTAACTTTGCAACAACAGCTGTAAAGAAAGTTTTATTTTGGAAGAGGTCATGAGTTGTCATGTTTGCTTCTCTAATGAAGCGACGATCGAAAACTTGAGTAGCGTACCTACATTAATTTGTAAGACGAATAAGAAATATTGATGTTTTCTTTCACAATAAACTCATTTATAAGAGAATAAACAAAAATGCAAACTTATTGGCCATTCACTGTACTTAAGGTTTTTTGTATGGTTTTCTATTCGAAACTAGTAGATCCACTGAATGTTCATAACACCAGCTCTATAGACCACAGTTCTTTTCATTAGAGTTGCTGGTTTACAAGTACACAAAGTGGTAGACAATATTTTAATTTCATTCTTTTTTTAAAATATAGCACTAATTGTAAATAGTTTTCCCTTTCTACGGACTTTCCATATGCCCCGCGCCGACAATCTAATTGCGATTACAAAAACTTCAACTCAATCATAGGGGCAAGTCCGTAATTATACTACCTCACAAATCTGTGGACATTCCTTAATCTTTTCTGCGACTACCTTCGTTTTGTCTGTCTTCTGCGGCTGCGACATTAAATGACGACCGCAAGCAATAAATAAGATTAACACCAAAAGACAATAGACCCCGTACCTGTGTGCACTCTCCTCGTAAGAATGGGTAACCAGCGCGGCGCCGCATGTTGGCTCACCTCACACTTCTGTGCCAGACGATTTCTTTCTGGATCTTTTGAATCGCTTCAAAACGAGTAACTCAACACTTGAGGCTTCCCAATAGTAATTACTTGGTCATTAAATATTCTTCGCGACAAAGCGAGTAGACATCTTGATGAGTATCAAATGTGCAAATGGCAATGCGATTGCGATAATTGTACTCTTTTAATTATTTAAAATTAATTATTTATTAATTATTAATAAAATTTAATTATTTATTAATTAAACAAAAAAGGAGTAAAAACCAAATTAACTATGTGGAAATAACAAAGCATGGGCATCACCAAACAAGTTTCAAATTGCTTTTGAACCAATTCGATAAACAACATAATAACATTTCAACAATATAATACTAACTAGGCGATGTAATGGGTTGAACTACTCTGCCAATCCCGAAATGAATGATAAAAAGTCACTCACAAAGAATGCGTGGTCGTAAATGTGCAGTTTAGCTGTAGTGTATGTGTTATGTGATGTGTGGTGTGACGCGTCCGCGTCATGCGCGTCGCGTGATGTGAAGCAAGATGCATGATGCGTGTCGTGTGATGCGATGCGAGATGTATTGGTGATGTATAGGGCTGTGATTTATATGCATTTGCATATTTTTTATGTTAACTAAAACATCCCGTTTCCAGAAATTGTATACGTTATGAGGAATTCAGAATCGACTTGATTTCTGTATCTTTTTTTGTTGTAAACACATTTTCTACGCTACACTTTTTATTTATTTTTTCACTTACATATTACATTACACTGATTCGCATATTTTCCTTTTTTAATTGTATATATTTACATATATGTGCAAATTTCGCTGTTTTTATTGCATATAAGTCATAGCCCTAGTTATGTGTGTTGGCGAAGCGTGTCGAGTGATGCGTGTCGTGCGTAATGTGTGTGATGCGTTTAAATAATTTTAGATGCAAAGATTTTATGTCATTTTTACTTTCACGTACTTACTAATGTAAGAAGAGAAAGTGTAATCGTGCGCCGGCAAACGGCGAATTTTCGACACAAAAATACTATTGCCTAGCCCTGGTAATGAAAAAGGGGATAAATCCAGTTGCTAAATATAGAACAAAAAATCCTCTAACACGTGGTGTAACCAGAATCCATATGTTGTGCGCACTTCATACCGAATTATCGATTGATGGAAAAACGTCTGTCTGTGCACAACGCTAGCGCATAAACCGTTCGGCCGATTATCTCCAAAATTTATATTTCTCAATCGTTCTGACTGATGTCGCGGTCCCGGAAATTTGAAATCGATATTTTAATTTATGGGGTACTTGACATGGAGCCCCTCGGACATTTTCAAAACAAATGTTCCAATTTTTTTGATAAAATGTTGTTGTTGAATGATGCGAAGAAATTTTAAGAGAATTGTTTAGGTCTCATTTCCAAAGAAATCCCCGATTTTTCGAAAATTAAAAAAGAAATAAAACTACAAAATCGAAGATAGTGATTTTTGCCTCAAAGTCAGTTGTTAAAAATTAGCTCTTTGAAAAGGTCATGTACAATATTTTGAACAAACGAGCAGTTTTCACGTAATTAGCGCTTCAAATTTACGCAATTTCTTTCTAAAAAACCGCTCATAATTTTTCTTCAAATTTTCCCCACATATGTCATAAGGCACGGTAAAATATGCTAATCCCATTTTTGGGTTTTGCTCGATTTTTTTAGAAAATTAAAAAAATCAAAACTACAAAATTAAAGATAGAGATTTTTGCCTAAGACAAAGTGTGTTGAACAAAATTAGCGCTCACTAGTTTACTTTTTCTCACCTACTATCTACTTACAGAGTAATAAGAAAATATTGTAATAATGCGACAAAAATCGGCGATTTTTCGACAGAAAAATTCGTATTTTTGGTCCCCGATATCAAAAAGTGGATAAATCATGCTCATGTCAATTACTTCCTTTGACACGTTATGTAGTCTGAATACACTTTTTTAGGTTCTTTTTAGTGAAAAATTGGTTTAAGCAAAACATCCGTCTGTGGCCAACAGCGCCTACAATGTTCCGACGATTTTTCTCCACAACAGATATTTTGAGACAACAGAGATCGATTTGACAGAAATCAAGATCCGGCATATTAGAAATGAATATTTTGATTTTTAAGGGTACTTTTTCATGAAGCCTCAATATTAGCAATATTTCCTTAAAAATGGCTGCACGATTTTTGTTTAAATTTTTTGTCGTACAAAGCAAAAGACTGTTAAAAATGGTACAGGTCTCAATGTCGTTGAAGTATTTAAATTTTCGAGAACTGCAAAGTTCTCATTTTTTCTCTTTGTCTTCCCCCAACTATAATATATAAGATAGATGTTTTCATTAATGAAATATGTTCTATATGGATAGATCTTTAAATAAGGCCTATTAATTTTTCGAAAATATGAGTAGTTTTCGCGTAAATTTGTATGAAATAGAGACAATTTCAAAACCATTTTTTCTTAAAAACGGCCCCAAATTTTATTTTAATTCTTTTCTAACAACATACAGCAGAGTACGCTTACAAAACTGTCTGAAGTCTCATTTTCGTGTACGTCACTGTATTTTCGAAAATTGCAAAAGTTAAAAATTTCCTCAGAATGCGCATGTGTTGGAGATTGAGATTTTTCTTCAAGAAATGTTTTTTAAAACTCTCTTGAAATAACGTCAAAGAAAATCTCTACAGTTTTTAAAATTGCAAATGCAAATTTGTTTCTAGAGTCTGGAAGGTTGACCGGAATTGTGAAGCTGGTGGTGTAGGAGTAACGTGATCGGCGTTATAATCCTAAAAATCTTACTTCGAATATCAGCGCGGATTATTTTTTGGAGGAAGGGGGCTGGAAATACTTTTGTAAGTTCAAGTGATTTTACAATATTGTGTAGCCGTCATAAATCATTGCAAGAATATATGTGCTGTAGTAACACCACTGATTTACCGGAACACTCCCCCCCCCCACGAAGGATGCAATAATTGTTTTACTTGTGGGTAAATCTGACTCTAAGTATGAAGCTGTTCCAGTTAATATTCATTCAGTTTTCTTAGCTTTTTAATTATCTCTGTAACCTTGTACATAGTCGCTTTGTGCTCGGTCGACAGTTCAATGATAAGTCAAGAATAAAAACTGTTAATTCTCTTGAGGTAGAGGCAATGAGATCAGTCAGTCAGAAGTAGTAAAATTGTCAATTATTTTCAAAGATTTTAAGATAAAGAGATGCATGCCTTTTGCTAATAGCTTCTCTAATTCTGACTTCACATTCTTGAACGTAAGACAGTGAGAGATCTAAATGCTTACAAGAAGGCAATACCAGCAAAACAAAACTACTTCCATCATCGATTTCCTATTACGAAAGCTTCCTGTGAAAGAGATCACGAATAGGTGTAAAATAAGATATTTAAAGGAAAAATTGTTAAATAAACACAATTTACACCAAAAAATCCAATACGTAAACAGTAGTACACCAGTAAATCATCTAAAAAGTCTATTAATTGCAAATTTGTGTGCTGTAATATTTATTATCATTGCTGGAATATTATTCAGGATAGTGTGAAATGTTCAAAGCTTTTCCCTTTTGAAACTACAAAAGAACAGCACACATTTCAAGGCTCCAAGGTATCGTGCTCCACTGACAAAGTCAAAAGAATCACTCACTTTTAACTCTAATCAATCGTTCCAAAAAGCTGCATTATTTTAAGTTTACACAAATAAAATATAACTAGACAAAGAAATACTAATGCCAGGGTGGCAGTGTGTTTGTTCCTTTTCTTTCTGGTGAGCTTGTGCACAGTGATGCCAAATCTAAAGAAAACGAAGTTAAGTTTTATTTTTACTATGTATAAGTACAACGCCCATTAAAAACCCTAGCGTCTAACACTGAATTAATAATTTTTATTCATACAAAGGCTACCCCTACTTATAACTCAATCAAAATAATTACTTTAATGTCACAATCGATGAACCTTTCAAGAACTAATTGGAATTTGGAATAATGTTCACATGCGATCTCTTTGTTCTTTATATCAAAAGAAACAACTCAAAATACAGTAATCTAAAAATTCTCGAAAATTCAGTGTAAGTAACGCCTCTAGTAAATTCTGGCGAAGTTTGTAGCTGAAAAGAAATCTAGGATACACTGATTACCACGCTATCAAACTTGTAAACGTTGTGACAATACGCATTGTTCAGGCCTGTTAGAATAGACCTGTTGAGAATCATGTATGCTCATGTATGCTAATCTTATAATGCGGAGAAAACCATATTTCAATGTTATACAGGAAGTTGTGAGATATATTGGACTAGCTTTATCAACTCTCGAAGTTTCTCTTAGGCTCACAAAAAAACCTAATTAGGAACCGTTAGTCATAACACCAAAGTTGAGGTTTTGGGACTTTTGTCACTGATTGTCAGCGTAGCAGTGGCGGCTGGTGCCCAACAAACTGGAGGTTGCAGCTCCATCGAATGGCGGAAATGTAATTTCCAAAATTCAGAACACCAATATATAATAAAATGTATGCGATTCTTGTTAATTAATTTAAATTAGTTTAAATTGAAACATTACTTACATTTTAGTCTCCGTAATACATAGTAACCGTGCAAGGTACCATTTATCGAACGTCTATATATTGAGATTATCTACAAATCAAATATTATTTCTATATATCGAATTCATTTTCTGATGACTTTTTTTCTGTGAAATAATCTACAGCACATTCTCTAAATTATATTTCTAAAACAATAGAATTGTTTAGATTGAAAGGATAATATTACTGCGGAAAATATAACTTCCTTCTGGACGTTTGTATAATCAAATAAATGTTTATACACTTTCTGCGGCCAGTTCCCAGCTTTCTCGTAAAGGTAACTAACTCCTGCTATCCCTCCCAGTGCGAACTTGTCAGACGTGGGAAAGCTTTCGCCCCTGAGGTTTAGGGTAACGCTCACCCTCCCCAGGCACAAACTGTACGATCTGATTTATAAACAAGATTAATAGCTCGAGTCCGCTCATCGCATACCACTACCATTTGGGGAACTCAAAAGGCACACGAAGCAAAAAGCCAAATTCATTATTATTGTAATCTTATATTGTTAAATTTTACATTTTTTAAATTATAAATGAAATTTGCAAAAATAAATAAATTCAATGTAATTAATACATTATGCCTTTCAAACTGGGAAAGAAATATGAAAATGTGTTGCCTCCAGGGTAACAATCCAAAATCTCAGAAAGAGTTCTTACAAACCAGTAGTAATATGTTATGACCAGAAGTAATTTGTAAGAAAACACAACGGATTTTTGGTGTATGATAGTTGAAGGTTGAAGGCTGCTCTTAAAATGGCATCTTTCAATATTGCTTCAATTACTTGATCTTTTGCAAAGTTAGTTGTAATTACTTATATTTATAATTATTACAATTAAATAATAAAATTGGCCTAGTACTGTGAATTGCACATTCTCAACAAAAATTGTGACTTTGAAAAGAATTTAAAACATGTAAAACATTTGATGAAGAAGTTGAAGAGCAAACAAATTTTTAAATTTAAGTATTGTTGACTTCTTAATTTTAAAAGTACCTGTTTTTATAATAACATAAGTGATTAAGTAACAACAGTTGAAGTTCAGTGATAGACAAAAACAAAAAAATAAGAAACCAAAGAATTTTATTTATATTATTATTATTTACTAGTGACCTTCGGAATCAATATAAATAGTAATTAAATTATTTGAACAGCATTACACATAAACTAAATATTAACCGGACATAAATTTCTATAGAATACAATAAATGCGGATAATTGAGTTTGGTGATGCCCATTTACTTCATTTCATGCTTACATTCCTTCTGCATTTGGAAGAAAATATACTTTCTCAAAATATTTATTCCAGTACTGCAATTTACAATCAGAATTCAACTGCAATTTTCTTTCACTAACAACACATTTAATATAATTCATCAAGATCCATCTCGCATTGCTGCAATGAACATCACCCTCCTGTTCCTATTTGTGTAATATTTCAGAAAACAAGAAAACTATAAAATGTGTACCATCGGTATGAATAAATAGTACCTGTTTAAACCTCACTGGCTGCCTTCCCTATGATATGAATGTACACATGTGGCTCAAGTTTTAAAAATAAGTAATAAAATCATATTGAATGTTAAAATTTTCTATAAACAAATGAAAAGTAGCAGGTAATCCTTATGAATATCTAAGGCTAATATTGATGTGTACATACATAAGCGCAGTTTCAGCGACAGTGCAAATTTGCACCCTTGAGTTTGACCTTTTCTGTGACCTACTTTCATTGTTGTTACCTACTTGTTGTCATATGCACTGGATTATCATCCGTGTTTTTACTGTATGGCCTATTGTCATATAGGATATGTATTTATGTATTTGTAATTTCGCTAAGTTATGAATGAAAGTTTCAAAGGAATAAAAATGAAAATTATTTTAAATTTATTTGTTGTACATCAACACAATTATTATCCACAAAGTTGTTATCACAGATGTGCAAAGAATTTCTCTTTGTTTGAAATCTCTTCAGATTCTTTGAAAAGTGTACAATTCATTGAAAAAGTCTCATCATGATCACACAGTTCTTTATAACTTCCTTGATGCCCCTCTCCATAAATTTTAAATTTTAAAACAAGTTTCTAAAACTTATTTTAAAATGCAAAAAACTCACCTCTTTTTCTAACCAAGTTAATGTTATTATGTTATGATTACATTAGAATCAGGATCAATAATTTCTTGTGTTTTTTTTTTTTTATGCAGCCTTCAGAACTTCATAAAGAAAGCAATATTTTCAGAAGATTTTAAATGAATTTTTTCTGACACAATAAATCTTCATTAAATCCTTAGTTGCATACAAATTTCATAACTTTTATTTAATATTATCATTACATTTTAAACAAGTTTTGATAATGCCATTTAGTTTTAAAATTAATATTGTCATTTAGTTTAAAAATGTTTCAATAAGTGATTTTATATTACTTATTGGTTGTTTAACTATAATTATAACTGGTTTGAGTGCTAATTTTGAATTTGATTTGAAAAGTATTATTGCTTTATCAACGTTAAGTCAGTTGGGTCTTATAATAAGAAAGCAAAGGAAAGAGTGCGATTATCAGTGCATTTAAATCATGTTTAAAATAAAAGAGATTATTTACTATGCAAATCTTTAACATCTGCCATAGATGAATAGTTAATGAAATGTAAAATAATCAAAAGATGTGCTCAAGGTTATTCACTGTTTAGCATTTTTCTGAAAACTAAATTTCTACACAGAAATTAATTTTCATAAAAAAATTTAAACTTAAAAGTTTATAATACAAACTTTATTAACAATATTAAATCAAATGTTGAGAAAAATAAAAACATTAACTATAGCACGCCAAGTTTTATAGCATACACTGTAATACATATATATCATACATAATATACATTATGACCTTTTTTAAAAATATATGTATTTCTTTTCAAATTACCTTATGTTCATTTACATTGAGGCCTTTAGTTTCTTGACATGAACCACACTCTATCAGTAGTGAATGGTACGTAGTCAAATGTCCTTTAGCACATTTCATCCAAGTGTTCTTTTCTAGATATGTGAAAAATGCAATGGTTTTGTGCAATTCCAATACATGTTTCTGATACACTTTACCTTTCAGTTTTTGATATTCAATAATTTCTTTGTAAAGTTCCCTGAGAACTTGTGAACATAAGCCCATCTCAAATCGCTCTAGAAGCAAAATTAACAACCAATCCAAGTGATGGGGTGATGCCAATCCACTGCACCCATCAACAATAGGGTAAAGTAAATTTCTCAAAAACATGAGTAGAATCATTGGCTTCTGTTCGGCAATTTTAGTTTCTTGAACTACCTGAAACTGTTTCTTGATTTCTTCTATTTTAGTATGATTTTCTGTGTAAAAGAATATTTTTATGATTTAATTAATGTGATGAACATATACATTTAATACCTAGATAACAAAACAAATCCATTTTCATTACAGACCTATTTCTTTCGGCAGAGACATTGACCGTATCTCCTTAGCAATCTTCCAAAACTCTGTTGTTATGTTTTCTTGGTATTTTCTTTGAACATGTCTTATCACAATGAGATGTCTATGCAATTCTTTTGCATAATTTAAGTAACGTGTAGTTTTGGTTATGTTATATCCACAAAGTGGACATGCCAAACTTTCTAATTTTTGCACTTTGCTGAATGCTTTTCGATCCAAATCATTACTTCTAACAACATGGTTGCAATTACTCAAAAGAACAAATCTGAAAAGAAAAAAGCTCAACATCAATCTCTTCTAATTAGGCAGAAACATAAGTTGTGCAATGAAATGTATAGAGGAAGATGTAAATTTTTGATGTGAGAAAAAAAAAATTAACAAAATATGTACTTTAACTTTGAGATTTGTCCCAGGCTTCGATAAGCAAACATGGTTTAATGCCAACTTAGAACATCTATAATACATAATAGGACCATGTTTCTCAATGAAGTGGTCTGTGATGATAATACAGAAATGAGTACAATTGAAGATTTCCAAGTAGACAAGAGCTAGTTTCATACATCAGAAATACTTAAGAAGTTATGTAATTTTGGAGAATAATATGGAGTTAATCTTCAATTCTTGGTTAATTTTTTGAAATGTATTATTTGTTTGTTTATTCAAAATTAAATATTATTGGATATTTCAAAGTATAAACAAAGATTGATAAACAATATTTATAAATTGAGAATGAATGTCACCTGTATTACAGTAAGCAGAATTTTTAAATCTCTCTTTTAGCCTTTGCATTGACAACCTGGACACTACAGCTGAATAGGAACATACAGATGAAATGTATATTTTTTAATTAAGATTTTAGTATGAATAAAACCATAGGAGATACACATTAAATCAGGTGCTAATTGGCATGTACAAAATATGTTTCATAAAAAATAATGGTAAAGTGAAGGAAGTATATTTGAATGTCTAAAATTAATCAACAATGTTCAACAAATAATAATGTCTTTGAAATGGCAAATTGTTTCTCATCTTCAATACAACTAAAAGCCAATAATTTTCATTCAATCACCTTGCTTCTCCTGTGCCATCTTTTTTCTTCATTTTTTGTGCATTGCATACTCTGCAATATTCAGGGCCTGGAGGACAGGGTTCACCACATATGCCTACACACTTATGACCACAGACAAGCAGTTTCTTGCAAGGTTCAAAGCAAGGTCGTCGATCACACAATTCAAAACATTTTTTGTTACATTTTGAATGTTCACAGCCTATTGTGCACATTTCCTGAAAAAGTATTTCATTAACATGTAAATAAATAGAAAATACAAAAATACAAGATATAAGTCAATAAAAATAACTTGATTCACAATTATTGAGAAAAATGAACTTTCATAAATGATTCACTGAATACTGTAGTCTACATATTAGGAGTAACATCAAATCTGGCTAATTCCCAAATTATCTGTTTAATGTTTACATTATCCAAAAATGGAAGATACAGTGTGAAGTAGAAACAGTTTTGAAACATACTTCAGGCTTTGGGGAGATGAAGGGCACATTAGCCAACACGAGGCATCTAAGGTAAGTTAAGTACATTGTAGTGATGAGTTCTAGATTCCACTTTCAGGCACAATTTCAATCTTCACCTTTCACTATGCATTTCTGACTTGGAGAAGAGGTTCCAGGAACCAGTCTTCACAATTTACATAGTTTTCACAAGGGAGTTAATTTGATCCAATGTAGTATATATAAAATGAATATGATAAGAATTAATGATAATCATGTGGAAAGCCAGGTGAGAACATTAAAATAAATTCATGAGGTCATCTGCAGTCAAGACAGCCTACAACTACCAAAAATTGAGAAGTCCATGCTGTTCAGTTTCATCAAGTTTTCAACTTAACTTGCAATATACCAACTTATAATCAAAGAATCATGGTTTCGATGATTTTGATCTAGTGATTTATATCATCCATTTAAATCACATAATTCAACCAAAAAACCATTGATTTAAATCAAAAATATAATTCATAGTAAATTTTACAAAGAATGGTTAAAAGTTCTAGTAAAAACTGTTAAATTCTCAGAACTAGGTCAATATGGGGTAGCCTCATTGTTCTACTGAGCTTTTCACTATTTTCAAATATCAAATATCTAAAAAATTTCAAATATTTTTTCAAAATTTTTTTTTTCAAATATCTAAAAATTTTACATAATATGCATATTAAAAAATTTAAATAAAAAAAATCTGATTAAAACTTTAAAAAATCAGACGTTTTTATTAACCCTGCAATGAATAATGTATGTAAATATTATTTTTTTAAATAGAAGTTTTGAAGTGCACTTTCCATGAATTCTAGCAAAATAATAAATTAATTGCATGTAAAGATAGCTTCAGTTGGCAGAATGACAAGATTAATAGACCTAAGACAAGTTAGCCAACATTCACGTAATGAATATGAACCATTTTTGCATGATATAGCATGAATGACAGAAAAAACATCTGACGATGCCATGTAATCTATCTTTTCCTATCTACTCCAGAAATAACTTAACATTATGATAGTTTTATTGCACAAACACAGGCTTACAATGTATGTCGCATATAAAACCAAAATAAATAAATATAAAATATACTCTGTCTTAGTAGAGCAATACAAGGAACTGCCATGCATCCTTTGTTCTTGTGTTTGGAAACTATCTATTGATATTATAATCAGATTAATTACAATGGTATACAGCTACTGAAGGGCAAAAATATTTAGAATGTTATAATAATAAAAAGACATACCTTGCAAGGGGTACATGGGATACCACACCTTTCTTTGCACATTGCATGAGGACACTCATAAAAGCACTTCTGTTCACACTGTTGTACATAACCATTGCATATAGACACAAATCTAAAAAGATAAAGAAATAAAAAATAAATATGCAAAATTATAACAATTTATAAGCTCAATGTAAAAAAAAGGGAGAACTGATAACACAGAACAATGTAGAATATTATTAATAATTACACGAGACATACAAGGGATATCATAAAACATAATATGGCATGGTGAAGGAACTAAGTCATTGGAATTTCTATGTATCACTTGTATTTCTTCCACCAAAACACGAAACGTCAATGATGGTTCTTGCAATAATCACACAAATAATGAATGAGAAAAGCTTACAAAAATTCTACAAAGCAACTAAGAATGAAAAATATCCTCATTTAAACTCTTCAGTTTGTGTTCTCAATGTTCAATCAATTAATTTATTTGGTGTGGGCAGCCAAGAATATACATGATTAGCATATCAATAGTATACCAGTAGTACAAATATGTAGATACATATTTGTTTCTTCATTTGTTGCAATTGAGCATCTTTTTGAATTAGGCATTTTTAAATGATAGTATTTGATTTCACACATTTGTCAGCATTGGCATGTATAGCACATATTTTCAGTATTTGAGGACTTGCATATCTTTATATATTTCAATATCTTATTGTAAACATGTCCAATATTATATTCTTTCAAAATTATTCTTAGCAGATTACTTATATTTTTTAAATACAGTATGTCATTCCATGCTTTCTTTGCCAGCAACAATGAAACAATAAACTGAAGCACACATTCTTATCATCTAAATCTAAGCATTATTTTGACTGAATTCAATAAGTAATGATCTTTTTTTTCATGACCGAGAATGGCAGTTCAGTGTCATTGTGCAGTGGAAATATCCTATTGCAGTTTCAAAAGAACAGTTTTTAATTCACAACTATTGTTGTAATTTATTCATTAAAAATGAGAACAGCTAAAGATTGGGTAGCAAAATATATTTTGAATATTTGCAACGAAACATTCAGAAGTGATGGAGACATGATCACTGTTCTTCTAGTGACAGTTTCCACAACGCAACACTACCAAGTTAACCAATACGTTGGCACTGTTCCATTCAAGAACTAAGAAAAACAATTAAAACTGCAGCATCATACCATCTTCATCATGTGAGGGACCATACTGTTTTAATGGCTCTATTAGTCTTCTGTGCTATAACTCTGTTGCAAAATAAAGTTTTTTGTTTTTGTGTGATGGACCTCTATACTAGGTTAAAGTAGGAAAATCTCTACCAGTTTTTTTATTAAAAATGCTTCATTTCACATGTTTTCCTTATGAATTTCATCAAATTTCTAAAACTGTTCAGACTGAATTTTCAGAATTTATTTCATTTCTTATGTTCAAAAGATATATTTAAAAGCCCCAAGCTGAGAGGATGTATTCCATGGAAAATAACCATGAATTGGCCTTAGCACTCCAGTCAGTCCAGACAAAATGGAGCACCTGGTTGGAGATTATTGAAAGTGTCTCCAAAAACTGATAAAATAAAGGACATAGACTCAGAACTAGGAGGAGATTCATTTGCAGAAATACAAGTTCAGGTGTTACTGGGAAAACTGACTTAAAAAAATAATCTGAGTACATTCCTAGTAAATTATTCTTTCAACCTACACACTTTTGCACAGCTTGAGCCTCAGAAAAACCTACAAACATGACTACAACGTGCCTGCCAGGAGGCATTCGATGCGACTGACACAATAGACTCCAGTGGTTATGTGGATGAGAGCATTGTGAACAGTATTCAAAGGCCAAAGATTGATATGAAAACTGATCCAAAAACTGTACTGCCAGAGGGCAACACTGAGTAAACAAGTGTTCTATACAGTGGACTGCGGAACGCAAATCCGGACTGCTCCCCATGAAATCCCACTAGGCCTGTGGAGGAGGTTGACAGAAGAAACACATCTGGCCTGCACCCTACAGATATGGTTGTGCCATGTCAGCGATCTGTCAAAGGAAAGCTGGTGACCATCTAGGAAAAGATCCGGTTTGTTACGGAGATTGTAGATGCTGAAGTGCATGCAACAAGATATTGTCTTTGAAAATTAAAACCCATATAATCACTCAACTGATGCAATCTGTTAAGAACAAAACAAATGTGACTATCAATGATATTTAGGCTTGAGAACAGTATGTAGCAAAATCATCCATAAAAAGAAATGCTTTAACTGGTTCACACATAAAGAAGGAACAGAGTAAATGGCAATGTGAGAGTAACACTTAGAATTGATCCCTGGAAATTGATCCTTGGAAATTGGAACAGTTTTCCAAAGAGTAAAAACTGGATACCTCATTACTTCAAGAAATCTATTGGGCAAAAAACTTCTGAGGGTCAGGGGAATCCCTAAAACCCCACAAATGTAATGAACACAATATGTAATGCCTCCAGGTGGGCTCATAGGCTTTTTATGTTAAAGAAGACAGCTACTAAATGTTTCGAAGCAACAGAGGAGGAGATGAGTAGACAACGTCATTAAGTGATCCAGGGTTGATTGGCGTTTTCTGAATTCTCATCGGATTAGAGTAAGTAAACACCTGGTCTCACCAGATAGTGCTTTACTATACATTTGAAGATTTTTACCAACCCAGCTTGAGATTGGACAGTAATTTGTAGGTAATGATTGATCCTTTCTTTCCTTAGGGATTGGAATGATGGTTGCTTCCTGCCATACTTTTAGAACAGGATGTTCATACAAGATTGGATTGAAAAGATTAAGGTGAAATTGTTTATCTTGTTATGGCAGGTGTTTCAACATTACAATATGTATCTGGACTTGTCCAGAAGATGTGTTTTTATGGTAGTAATATGACAGAGGCGCAAAATCAAGAGCAGCTTTCTCCATTCTTCATTTGGTAGAACAAGGAAAAATGGGGCAAGAAGGGCTTGAAACCTTCCATAGTGGGCAGCAAGCTCCTCAGTTATCTGGTGGTGTGTAAATACCCATTCACTAAAAATCTAGGCACTGCAGATAAAGAGAGGGTACCTTTAATATTTCATATTTTCGAGACAGCATTTGGGGAGATGTAACACATAAGCAAAGATATGTACTCTCAAGAAAGCGGATATGCTTTTGCGCATGACTCTTCTCACTTAGGCTCATGATCTTGAAGGAAGTAGTAGGAAGTTGAAGAAAATAGTTTATATTCTACAAGGTTTTCCATTGTTGGAAAATGGTTCAGCCTTGCTAGTGCCTTCTTGCGAGCCTTGATCGCATTTACACAGAGTTCCAGGAGAAAATCATCAGTGAAATGGGACGTCATTATATTGATGTTCGCAGCAAGGCTGAGTAATGATCACTTGTATAAAAATCGTCAAGCACAATCCAGTCCATAGTTGAACCAAGGAATTGGTTACAAATAGATAAATCTAAACATAATAAGTTCCTGGATGCAACTGCAAAATGGTTGTGGACACCCTGTGTTCAACAGAACGAATTGTAATACTCTTAAGGTGTTTCTATAATGGTCCCCACTGACAAGTTTGTGAGAAGCCTCAAAAAGATTTGCAGACACTGAAATTTCCAATGACGAAGAATGTTTGATTAAATATTTCAAACTGAGGAGAGGGATAGAATATTGACACACACGATTTGGAGACTGCGTTGTGATTTCTTGACAAAAGAGATGATTATGGACTAACAAGATGACACTGACACAGGAATAGGAACCATCATCAGCATCGAATCTAAAACTCTGAAAACCTCCTGAGGATAGAGTATTTCTCTGTGAAAGGGGGTTTCCTGCAATCAAAATAGAGGGGAATTATGGAAAAGATCTATTAGTCATCCAAATGGGCCCACAAACCATTTAAATTCCATGATAGGAGAGTCATGAGGAGTTTTCAGTTTGTTGTGTCTTTTTTTCGTTTGCTTCCACTGTTTATCTAGCACTGCGGGGATGGCACTGCTGGGAGCCTCCTTCACAGAGGACTTCTCCTGACCATTGCCAGAGAGTGCAGGGGCCCCATGTGATTAACTCTCTGCCTTTTTGTGCAAGTGGTCAGGCCTTGGTTGCGGTCTTTTTAACTGGTGGCCCTAGGAGTAAGAGTCATCAAAGGGTTGAATTCTGCCCACCCTTCTTGGCTTTCACATAATATCTTTTATCACATAATCTTTCTTTTGAAAAAAGGCCGGGGGTGTTGGTCTTGGAATCCATAGGGAGGATTTCACTCCATTCCCACACTCCCCACTCACCAGAGTCCACCACGGGGACATTCCATTAGAGTGCCTGAGGTTCCAAGGGGAAATAGCATGAAGTGGCATGATTTCTTCATGTCGCACACTCAAGGGAGCTCCACTCACCTTGGAGTAGTAACCTAGTCGAAGCCAACTGATCGGGAGTAGGTTAGCTCCTAACTGCAGGTCTAGAAGAGGCCAAAGCCAAAGGTGATGTATTAAGGTTCTTACCTACTGTTAAGGGACGGCCTCGAATTCATTCACCCAGCATTTTCAGAATATTTTCCTTTCACTAGTGAAGCAAGCTAAAGTTGAGAGAGTAGGAATTGTGCCCAGACGCTTGTTTTTTCGACGATAATCCTTGCAGAATTGCCACAGGCCAGATGCTACCGCCCCCAATGCCAGAGGCGAGCCCGGAGGGGCACGTGTGCTCAGGTGATGAAGCACCCGAGCCCCTGCTACCCCCATGCGCCAAAGAACGGGAAAAAATAAAAAGTATGGAGTAGCAACAAGATTCCATACCTATGTCCACATGCTAAAGTAATCTTGCTCTGATTCTTGCATGGCAAATGAACTCTTCCCTGGCGACAACTTCCACATGTTCCTGTACAAGTGTGACCACATTCCAGAACTGCTGAACATGGAACTTGACACAAGAAAGCAAGTTCAGTGGACCACAGATCCAGCTGAGGACCTGAAACCATTTTAATTTCACTTCTTTAAAAAAACATACCAACCTGCAAACATTTTGCAGTTACATAGTCCTTCTTAACCCTTCAATCTGAAGCAATTATTGTGAACATCACATGCAATTCACATGCATGAGAAGTGATGTTTAGTACATTTATTGTTTTAGTTGGTGATAATTTCAGTGCTGAGGTTTCAAAAGAAATGGTTAATGAAACCAATGTAGAAATACTATATTAACTTACTTGTCATAACAAGACATCACAGCATAATTGTTTTTTAATAACATTGTTTTCTTTAAAGTTCAGTTGTAACATATCCTCCAGAAAATGTGAATAGCAGCCATCACCAAGAGATTCATAATGAAGTAAATAGTTTGAATTCACAGAGCAGTAAAAAAATCAATATAATTTTAATAGCAATAGAAACACTTTGGCTTGGAAGGGTTGGATAAAAAACTGTCATAACATTAATATGACTTCTAAAATAGTAGAAGCTTCAATAACATTAAAATAATACAATCTTTAGATCGCAGTGAACATACCTTTTCATTATATTAACTTCACATAATTTTCTTAAGAGAATACATTAGAACTATATTAAAACAAATGTATTATTAATATATATTACTTTTGAAAAAAATATTCTAGAATGGGTCAAATGTTGTTATCCATACTCATAAGTTAAATCAAATTTGATTAATGAATTCCAAAAACTTAAACAGTAGTTGGTTTCTAATGGCCATTACATTGGAACATACTGAGAAATAGTGTACCAGATTGAAAGATAAGGAATTACCTCATAATTCTGACCCTTACAAATAGACACTATATATTAATTTTGATTTAATTTTTCATATGACATTTATTAACATCAAGTCTTAGTTGTGAAAATGCAATAGTTAAAAACCATAGTAACAAATAGTTAATACTAAAATAATGCAAATGAAAATGTGAATATGCAGTCAATTTACATCGGTAGTTTTTTAAACATTTATGGACTTTCAATTTACCTGATTTCTCCTTCCTAGGATCAGAGTGACCGCATGGCAATAATTTTTTCTGAAAACATTTCAAACTGTGTATTTAACATGATCACTTTGTAAACAAACAAACATTCAAAATTTCACATTATATTTATACCTGATTTGATTTTAATTGATCTGTAGGAGTCTGCGTTTTTGAATTTTCTCCTTTTCCCTGCTGAGTGAATAACTCATGACACAAGCTAGTTTTATTGTTGCCTTCTAATATCACAGTGCATAAACCACATGGCTCATGGCAACGTTTGGTGCACTTGTGGTTCATTAAACACTTTTTCGGTTTCCTAAAATAAGACATCATAGCAGGTGAATTCATTCTTAAGACATACAGGGTGTCCCGTTTAACTTCACAGCTTGAAATAACTCAAAATATACGTGATGTACGAAAAATTAAGCCGAGACCAAATCTTAACAGTTTTGAAGGGGGAATCATTCTATGTTAAAATCAGCAGCCCCTTGCCCCCAGCAGGTGGGGCGGTGGGCAACATTGAAATCTTAATAGGAACCCCCATTTTTTATTTCAGATTCGGATTCTACGGACAAAAATACATAAGTTTTGTCTGAAACTTTTTTCTGATTTGTGATAGGTGGAGATGTAATCGCAAAAATTTAATTTCCAAATATTTCAGACTGTAATTAAAGTGGTTTTGTGTGTGGCCTCAGGGAACACCCATCAATTTGTTGGTAGCATCTCTCCATGGTCCGTGCCTACAGTACTTCAGAGGCAATCTGATATTTATTAAACCTTTACCTTTCTGAACTAACATTCCACCTTGTTGCATTATGAATTATGTAAATGTGCAAGAAAAAATTGAAATAATTTGCATTTACAGCGAAGCTGGGAGAAATTTCGACACTGCTGTTAATTTGAATGCTCAACATATTCCTGACAGAGTACGATCACATTCTTTTTTCGTTAGAATTATTCAACAATTCTCTACTGACGGAAGTGTACAACCAAAGAAAAGAACACCTAGTTTCTACTACTGGAGAAAATAATCAAATGTCAGTACTGGTTGCAGTAGCTCATAATCCACATGCAAGTATTCGAGAAATATCTCAACAATCAGGGATTCCTCGTATGAGTGTTAGGAGGATATTGAAGATAGATAAATTTCATCCGTATCTTCCGTCAGTGGAAATGAAAATGTCTAGTTTTCAAATGTTGCTAAGTTCACTTTTCTAAGCACTTATTCATAATTCAACTCAAGATGTTATTCTTCTATAATATTCTTATAGTAATGTTTCAATTCTACCATTAGGGGAGCAAAAATTTGAGAATTTTTTAAAAATGTAGTTTGGACGGCTATAGATGGCAACTGGGAAGAGGATGGGGCAAAACCAAAAAGTTAGTTCAGACCAAAGAAATTAGGAATCAAAATGGTAGGAAAAATGTTGAGCCATTCTGTAGCATCACTAGTTACCTAATTAGAAGTCGCTTCTATACAAATAAAAAATGAATCACTAATAAGTAAAAAAACAAAATGATTCTGTTTTTCATAAAAAATTACAATTGAAAAGAAATCAGTCATTAAACAATCATAAAAGCAAATGGTACCTCAATATAAACAAGGGTTTGTGCAACCCAAGTAGCAATGTTCACTAAGGCAGGAGAGCTGCAACTACCATAGCTTGAAGGGTCATGGGTTCAAATCCTGCCTCCTGCATGAATGTGAGTATTTGTACATGTGTATGTATTTATGACCAGGGTAATAACACTAATTGAAAATTGCAATGGCTCAATAAGGCTTCCCTACTATAGGAATATTGTTCATGGTGATGAACTTGATAAATATAACGTACCTTGAACATGGTTCATGACACTTGTAATATTTGTGCTCTCTGTCTTCAAAGTGGCATAAACGTTTACACAGATGCCCACATTTTAATTTTTTTTCACAACGTTTCAAGCATGCTCCATTCTTGAGTTTTTTCAAATCATTAGCCTCAGATACATTAATTACTATCTGATGCAACTCACAAAGTAATGGAAGCTTGGTTGATACAGCTTCTTGTTGTTGTAAGAGTTTTTTCATTTCCTTCCAAAACGGACTGAGATTCTCTAAAAAGCTTAAGTTTCCTGGGAAAATAATAGTAATGAAATTATTAACTTTAAAAATTTGTGCACATCTTGTATTTGCAAGATAACAGAAAATAATGAGTCTTATAGTTTCGATGATAATAATTATTCCTTTCTAAAAACATGAAAACAACGCAGTACAATTCATTCATATTTTTTCCACACCATGAAAGCAAACAGGGGTCTAAAATTAATGTTGTGTGCTGAAATCAAATATGATAACCTTTTAGTTTTGGACATGATGTTTTACAAGTAGTGAGTGATGTGTCAGTGTCCACAGCAACCTCTCACTGGGAAATAGTGGCACAATCAAATGGGGTAACTGATTATTCTGACACCAAATAATTTTAATTGTGCTATCATTTCGGATCTGATGATGCGACCAATTTTAACATTACTGTCTTCCACCCAATAATGTCTCATGCTCTCTAATGTTTCATGGTTATTTTCACACACTGACAGATAGCAGCAGTTGATATCAGATCAGTACTTTCTGACATAAACAAGAAGAGTGGAACCAAACGTATTACACACTGAAGCCTATTTTTTTCTAAACATGCTTCAGGGTGAATATTTCTTAATATGAAGATAAAGAAACATAATACAATTGAGAATTTGTTTGGTTCAGTTTGTATTATGTTCACATTGGTACATTTTCTCAGTAAAATTGTTTCTCTTGATAACCCCCGCCTGATAACCCCTAAAGGTGCAATTCATTATACTTGACTCTTCCCATATGACACCACTGTCAACATGAATGTATTTTCATGACGCATTTTTCCCACCTCTGTAAATATTGTGTGGTTTTATATTATGTAATATATAAATATTTACTGGTAATATATTAAATATTTCCAATTCTAATATCATAGACCTTCCATGCCAACTCAAGAAAATTAACACATATTGTATTCAGTTGACTTTGTATCTACTCACTCACCCATCATAAAAACACCATTTTTAGCTCCCAACAAAGCTTGACACAGTTGACGTTCACAGTAAATATTTTGTACATCTGTTTTACTAACAGGGCATGAAATCAAAATTATAGTGGCATCAAATTTGTTACACCTGCTGATTAGTCCCACTTGCAAATCTTGCAATGACTCATATTTGCTCTTAATCTGAAATAAACAATTTTGCAATACATTCAAAGACAATATAATATCTGAAAACAAATGAAAATTGTGTGTAATTAAGTTTTCATTTTATATAGTTTCTTAAATGCAATTTACCTTCCTGAAGTATTAAGTGAAAACCAGAATAAAATTTATGAACTGAATGTAAACTATTTTTCTACTTGAATTTTATGATTTTTCTCCAAAAAATCTCTTATTTTATAATATAACAAGTGAAAAGTATTTTTCATGTGCATAGACAAAATAATCTAGTAATAAAAAAACAATATAATTTACCATTAATAAAGCGTATTTGGCATTATAAATGATTTAGCGATACTGTATTCTCTATTTTTCAAATATTATACATTCATACCTGGTATTTGTTTTGTAACCTTCTTTTCAATTAAAAGGAATCAAAAGATGATACAAGTTAACATTTATCAATAACATTAATTATTTTGATAAGTTCACTGCTGTAAAATTCACATATAAAATAAAAAAGGTATGTATATACATTAGAACCAAAGAACAATAAAATATAAAGATCAGAATCTACTAAGAGTTTCATAAATCAATTCATTTTGATAAAAAAGATTTAACCCTTTGATTGCGGTAGATGTGTAAACATATGACACATAACTTTTTCTGAGTAGACTCCTGTAGTGGTGGCAAATTAGGAGGGCCAGCATGTTCGTCCGAACTACCACATATATTTTACCTCTTCAAAATATTTCTTGAATGAGGAAAACTATAGCATGTAGTGTGCAACTGATTCACATGCATCAGGATTTCCTTGTCGAAGACAACGAAAAAAACTCGACATCCTTGTCGAAGACAACTTTTACATTAATAACAGAAGATACAATTGGGCTCACGTGAATTTTTTTTTTCCAATAAATAAAACAGTAATTCATGAAATCATATGAAAGGGTCATTATTTTTAGCTTAGTTCATAGATACAGACACTGCCGAACAATACTGTAATAGCAGAATGCTGCCCCCACCCATCTCCAATTATCCCCACTCTTCATCAAGCTTCCAATGCTTTGCATGCACTAGCTAATGCTGATGGACTCCCATAGCCTACAATGCCACCCATTTTAAAAACATTTATCATTCGTTTAAGTGGGCACATAAAACTAAATTCATAACATAAAGTAAATTCGCACATATTATCACATACAATTAAAAATGTGCGCAGAATACTTACTTCAAGAATATTTTTCAAGTCCTCATCACTTGTTGTGAAAAGAAGAATGTCATCAGCTTTGTATTTCTGCTTCAGTAAGTACTTGGCCACAGCTAATAAAAATTCTCCTTCTATGGCATCCTCCTATAATAAAGGTCAATGAATTTCCAAAATATTGAACACATTATTAATTGACAGTTTTCTTGAGATAGTTACCTCACTGCTTTTTATATAATCTACAAAATATATGTTTTTAGACATTCCCTGCACTCTATGTGCTCGATCTTGCAGTTTGTTAATTACACTTGGAAAAATATGACGCGAAAGAAATTCCAAATGTTTAGCCTGGGCTTGAACTGAATGACCTGGACCACCCTTTGAAGTATCCTCTTCAGCACTTGATTCCTGCACACTGGCTGGCTGTGCTTTACCTGTCAATAATGTCAATGATATAAAATAATAGTTGGTTTCAAAATACAAACAAAACAACTTCCATATAACAAGTATTTCATGGTAATATTTTAGATTCCTTTCCAAAAAACTAATCATTGAATTTTTTGATTCACTTTTATTTGTTGAGAAAATTAACCAGCAACAGTCAAAATTTCACAATAGGAATGGGAACTTCCATCAACCCCACATTATGAGTGAGTTGTCTCATAGTACTAATGGAAACAAAACTATTAATTCATGAAATTAATAAACCAAATTAACACCTTTTGGTCTGAGGGGCAGGAGGACTTATAGTATGCTATAAGTCCTCCTGGATAATGTATACACCTTCCACTGCACTGGCCAAAGTTCAATCCTCAGCCAAACCAAAAAACTTTAAAATGACAAAATGAGTTCTCAGTGGATTTTCTCAAGGTTCTCCCATTTCTCTTGACTCTCATCTCATTCCAACACTTCTCCATCATCATTATCATTAGAACATCACTCATGGGTAGGAGTGCTGAGAGAAAACAGAAGGTGCCAGGGGTAGAGATCAATGGGGGCCCAATACTTCCAGAAAAAAATTCTCCTTATTTATTACTATAATTAATTATAAAAATGTTTTAAAATGAATCATATTTCAAGTACAGTTTAATATAACTTTCTCAGAAAACTGTATTAAAGAAATACATTTTGTATAAACTTTAGAAGTCCCACTTAAGTGAGGGCCTGGGGCAAGTTGCCCCAGCTGTGCCACCCTTTGGATTCCCCAGCTCATGGGCCCTAATGTCCTAACTAGTTGAAGGTCACCTTTAAAGAATTTTTGGATTATAAAACTTCCCCATTTATTGAGGAAGTTTCAATTAAATTAAATTTATTTTCACTATTTAAAAAAATCATGGTCCTATGACTTGTTAACAAGTAAAAATGTTGTGATGATGCAGATATCTTACCTTCTTCACTACTATCAGGGGAATCAGGATTTAAGTGATGTTTCAGTTCTTTTTCCAATTTCTTTAACTTCATTCTGGTAGTTTCATCAATCTTAATATTGTGATATTGTTGAAGACCATTTAATGCAAGGTTTGTCTGGATCAACAAGTCTCTTAATTTATGGCAAATCAAACTAGGAATTAACCGTAAAATAGTTTCAAAAAATGGCAAAACATTTCCTTCTAGAAATAAAACATCTTCTTTTGCACAATCTTTCTGATGAGTAGGCACACTTAAAATATAAATACCCAATGTATTAAGAAACTTGTCAGAACAAACTATTTTAAGAAGCTCAATTTTCTCACTGTAGGTATCTGCAAAGCAAATTTTTCTCACTATTTTCATTAACACTTCCAAAACTGATTGTGGCAAAGAACTCTGTAGCATGGTATTTTCAAATAAAACTTTTTTATCTTGCAGAGATCTTACAATATTAGATGGATCTTTATTAGATAGTTCCAGTAATTCAGAAGTGTCTATTAAAACTTTTGGCCTTTCTGGCAATTCAGAGCCTTTATTAGGCATTTCCAGCAATTGAGATGGGACCTTGGTAGGATTTGGATGCATCTCAGGTGCGGTGGGATTTGGATGTGTCACAGGTACTCTGAATAGAGGCTCTCTGTTGATTTGCGAAGGGTTACCTGGAGGATTATTGCAGAAAAATGGTTGTGTATTAGAAGGCTCATATGGAGGTGGTGGTACACGAGGATAAACATTGTTAGAATTTCTATTTTCACTCATGTGCTGAAAATGTTCATGGGCAGGAAAATTGTTCTGAGGCAAATTGTTTACTCTACTTGCAGCAAATTGTAATCCATTATCATACTGTGCAGAAGAATTATGAACAAACACAACTCTAGTTCTAGAGTTGGGTACACTAGCTTCTTGATTTCTACTAGCTTCCGGTATCCTTGAACCACTCGAACTTTGACCAGTTTTTGTGTTATTATTACCCATTGTCCCTGAAACAAAATAAAAACTGACTTATTTTTATAATTTTTAGTGTAAAAAGAAGTAAAAAAGTTGGCAAAAATGTTTGAAATTATTATAGTATAAAATTAAATTAATTACACTAATTGAACTTATCAAACCCTGTGTGGTCACACAATCATGTCACACCGAGGTCATTCTCCAATTTTATTTGAAACTCTACCCACTTAATATAATATTGAGTTTTGAAATAATTTAAATTCTTTTAATATGTTCCTTATTTTAATAATTTGGTTCATTTTTGTTCTAATATTTGTTTTTTAAAACCCAAACACAATATGCATTAAACTTCTCCGTTTTGGAATTAAGATAGTTGTTCCAAGACACAAAAAAACTTAGAAACTTTAACTCAAAATATTCTAAAATTAGAGAACCTTCAATAACAATATTCACAATTTGATAAACTAATTACTTATCAGTCATTATTCTTTAATTATAGGCATTCATAATACATCTGCACTGTCACTAGAAGCTGAGTCTTGCAAGAATTTTCTTTTCACTTGAGAATTTCAAGCCATTTGTGTAAAGTTAAAACAAAAACGTTCTCTAATGTACACCACACTTAATAAAAGTAAAGTAAAAATGAACTTGTCTGCAAGATACATTGGAATATGCTATGCAAGAATTAATCCCCCTCAAAGCCCTAAGTTAAAATATATTTTTGTCATACTCGTATCAAATTCAAAATTTACCGAATAGAATTACAACAAACTGTTTCGGAAAATAATTATTTTTGAATTTAAAATTACGAATATATGAATGTTGAAAACTACAAATTAAAATGACTTTTTTGGAGCATAAATGTTTGTAGGCCTACCTGAAAATTGATGTAGATTCGGATTCCGAGTTAACACGACTCAACGAAGCTGCTAAATCGAAAATATTTCACTCTTTAGGTACAAAGTTAATTTCCACTTCCATTCTTATTGCAACAGACTATAGAGGGGTTTCTTAAAATAATTCAACCTGTTTTCCTTAACTCCCTTCACACTTCAAATCACGAATATATTTCATCACCTAGTTCAGATTGATCACAAGAGAATGACTGGTGACCTGCTGGTGACTGTATCGGTGGATAATAACGTCACTTGCCGTCAGCAACTTGTAATGCACCAACGATATCGTATCACGAAGAACTGACAAATTACACAGAAGGAGTCTAAACAAAACAACATATTTTGCCCAAATGCAGCTCGCACTTATTACATCGACGCCGATTGTATTCCAAGAGCGATCTGTTTAAAATGAACTGCCAAAGACACGTACAGCTGAGCACGATTACGAAACTAACATCAATACGCTTTTGTGATGTGGTGATAATACACGGGGATTCCCCCTCCCTACCCAAAGATCACAAAGTCTCAAACACGTGACTCATTACATAGCAATACAAGGTCACCATTCATTACTTTTTCTATTACGTATAATTTTACGTATTATTATTTTCACTGTTTATCTTTCTTTTTCATTGTTTTTGGGGACTGAAATATAGGTGGTATTTCTTTGTCAAAATAATGAATTATAAATGTTGGAGATTTAATTGTTCAATAAAAAATAGTATATTATAAGAAAAACTAATTTTGTACCAAAATGATTATTAAAACATTACCAATTTTACTCTAAATTATCGTCTTAACATGATTAAAAAAGTTGTATGAATACTGCCTCTCATGTAAAAAGTACGCCAGCACTCGAACTATGTTGGCACAACTGAATCATTTTCTCGAGTCAACTACGTGTACGCGATTGAACCTCGTGGCCAACGAGAGATCGAGATTCAACACAATTCAACCTTGAATAACGTCGCACCAATCAAAGATGACATTCCTCTGGACGCCCCAGTAGCGGCGCCAATTTCGATGGTCAGAAGTTATTGCTAAAACTACAATTTGTAGTTTTTGTAATACAGACTATGCTGTACTTGTAGTACAAGTGAAATGTATTTGTTATACAGACTATGTTGATTTGTTGCATGGCCGGATTAAGGTTCGGCAAACCCATTACACTAAACGCGAGGCTCCTGATCGGATGCGGTTACGAGGGGGGGGGGGGGCATGGGAGCCGTTCCTCTTGCCCCTAAGCCAACACTTTTTTGAATTTTTCTCAATTTATTGAAAATAATTACCCCATATAAATTTCATCAAATTTAAATCAGTTAAAAAATACTATTTCTTAAATATTTTTAGGAGTCTAAACTGAAATTAATCTTCTCGAAATACTTCTAGATCCACCACTGGCTCTCATGATTATATATTAATAAAATTGAGACATTAGGTGAAATAGAGAGTGAGAAAAATTGCAACAGAGCGAAAAATGAAAATTAAGTTCAAATGCTACTTTCATGAACAAATAAAAGTGGAAATTAAGTGGGAAATTTTACAAACTTTTTGGCGAAAAATAATAATTAACTTACAAAATAAATTATTTTTTATCAATATAATAACATATATCCACGTTTAAAACACTGACTCACGTAAAACCAACATTAGTCATCTATATACAACCTAACTAGAACCTATATCTAAAGCAATCTCTATTTTTCTGATAAATTTTAAGCTGCTTCAAAATGATCTGTAATTTCTGAAATGTACATTTTTGCAAAGGTGTCTAAATTTTATATTGTCTTTAATGAGCATAGCATAGATATGCAGCACTATAGGCATACATAGAGTACTACAAATAGATATCATAAAATAGTACCCGAATTATTGTTTCCTATATTATTTTAGTAGTATACGTACCTTTTGCGGCTCTCAAACGCAACCAATCTTGATAAATAAGGTCTCTAAAGAAAGGAAATTTCACGAAGACGTGACGAATTACACTTTAACTTTAAAATATGAAGCAATTGTTTAAAAAATAGGCATGTCAAATGCAACTCGCAGTCCTTGTCAGGATTTTTTAATCTTATTTTTTAACCGTTGAATAACTCCAAAACGAAGCGTTTTAGCGCCTTAAAAATTGAGATGCTGATTCCAAAGGCCTCAAATAAGCTTTTTGACGACGTAATCTACAGGATACGATATTCTTGGACATTCTATTACATTTTTGACGTTCCGGCGCTTATCGGAATTACCCATTACCAACTATATTACTCGACGCTGGAGATCTTTGTTTGTGACGTCACGCTTAGAAGGGTTAGATATCTCCATCTTATATGTATAATTTCTGTGTACACCGTGGTTTGCGCCGACTGATGAGATACATTTGCATAATCATTTATTATACAAATAAACCTAAATGATCTCGCAGCAACAAGAAGTATTAATAGTTGCTTGATACCGATGAAGATTGCTTTTTTGTGTATTGCGACTGTCTATTTATCGAATGTAAGAATTGAAATTCTTATTTCTGTGAAAATTTTGTGATATAATCTACAGTATCTACAGACTTTGCAGAATTAGTAACAAACAGAATCTGCAACTTTATGTGAAATGAAACTACTTACTTGATTGATATTCTAGGCGATTAAATTGAACGGATAAGACAAATTTCTTCGTCTTTCTCTCTCTCTCTCTTTTTCCATCTCTTCCTCTGTCTCTCTCCGATCGGTAATAAAATTAAATAATATTCCGAAGACCTCATAAAAATGTTTCAAGTAGTAATGTTTCGTAAGTGTGCGATTTGACATGGAATAACTCTACAGCGCATTATACACATGCCATGATGTCGTCGGGCAGTTCCGTGAATGAGATCTGACTTTACTGACAATATTTTGTTTTTTGTCATATTTCACTTTACCATGTGTGTGTTTATCCGAGTTCGCAAAATGACATCACGTTGGTTTCAAAATTCGTCGAATTCTTCCATTGTTGTCAGTCGTGATGATCGTATGATGAAGATACTGTTTATATGAAATAGATTTAAGAAAGGTAATAGATTAGACTTAGAAACAGAAATTTTCATCGCATATTACGGTATTCAAAAATTGAAAGCCCACATCAATATAATCAAGGCAAGCATGTGTGAAATTATTCTTGCTTTTCTTGATTGTATGCTGCAAATACTAGATCAGTTAAATTTAAGAAGAAGCAGACAATAGAAATCTATGCAGTTAGACACCACAGGCGCTTCGATTGAATTTTTTAAATGTGACTTAGACATGGCAGTTAGAAATAAGTTAGTAAGTAAGCACTGCCCCCTTCTTTGCTACACAAGCCAAAGAGCTGCGACGCGTGTACCCCAACACGAAAATAAGACTCCCGCCTCGCCAAGGCTACTGGCGGGGGAAAAGTTTAAAAGAAAAAGACTTTTTTTAAATGCTAATATGGCAATATTTTGCAATATTTCAATAATACGTAGTAACTAGTTGCAATAGTGCCAGAAAGTATGTACTGTTGTAGCACCGCTAGTTAAAAAAAAAGGTTCCAATTTCTTAACCTTGGAGCAAAGGAAACTTAAAAAATGACGTTAGTCTTATTTTTGTAGAACTCTGAATTTTCGAAATCTGCAAGAACAGTTAGAAATAATGCGAGAAGGTAGGAGTTGTTGTAACACCACATGTCTGAGGAAGCAAGAGTATCCCTCATCTTTAGAAATACATATACCGCGGACAGAAGAATGACTCCCAATAATTTAACAAATTGGTGAAAGAGAGGATTTTTAAATCATCAAGTACAAGGAACATTTTAATCTGTTGCTTTATCATCTCTGTTATCTCTCCATCGCTGAACATCAAAAAGCATGATAACACAATACTGGAAAAGCACATGATAAAACTATCCACAAACTTTATCGCCCTAAATGTGAGTGCTTCCCCAAACTCTCTCGCAAGGGAGGTGAGTCTTAGCAGAGAGGTATTTTAGAGTTCGCTATATCGGTTAGTTGTGACAAGAGATTGAGTTTCCAAAATTTTAAGTGTCTAAAGGAATAGTGCTGATTTTAGAGATCTTGAATATTTCCGCAGATATTTTCTGGAGGGATGTCTTAATGATAAGATTAAAATAAAGTACAATATTTCACAAATAAAATAAATAACTTGTATCAAGGTAATACAGAAAAGAATGTAGCTTTCATAGAGATTGCTTATTTCACCACTCAAGGTAAAAATGAAATATTTACGGCGTAAAAGATATTTCAAAAAAATTACATTCGTGTAATTTTCAAAAAAACAAAAGAATACATTTATATCACTTTCAGTCAATTTAGACCTATTATCTACAAACAATTACAGAAACATTTTCCAGCCGTTTTCGAGAAAATGGCGTATGAAAGTTTCTGAACAAGCGAAATTTGGAGCTCATTTTCTCAGAAAACCTTTGGGTATTGGAGAAACTCTATAGGACATTTGAAGCACACATACAATAATGCATACAAATTTCTGTTGATGTAAATATTAAGGACGTCAGAGAGATTACAATAGGAGTATTTATTTTATGAAATAATTGTTTTTGATATTTTAAAATATTGTGCATATTTCAATTAAAATTGCGGAAAGCTACTAATATGTTTAAAAAATGTGCATGACGTTAATGTAAAAACTGTTGTAGTCCCGGGGCATCTTTTGTTAACAGCACCAAATCGTCAGAAAATGTTAACACGGACATACTCCTTCCCAATAGCGTGTATCCTGACATATTTTCCAATTTCTCAAGCAGGCACTCCATGATGAGATTAAAAAGGAATGGGGACAAGGGATCCCCCTGATTTACTCCTCTACGAATTTGGCACCTCAATTCCTTTCGAGGGGTGCTGAATGACAGTGGAAAAATCGACGTGAGCAAATTAGTAAAGGCGTCAGGGATCTCTTCCCTAGTCAGAACCCACCGAATCGCCGCGTGAGGAACAGTGTCAAATGCTTTGTTTTAGAGGAAGTAATTTACTATGATTTTTGTCCACTTTTTCATCACAGCCTGGAAATATTAGTTTTCGGGAAAGCGCCATATTCCAGCGCAAGATTGCAATACTTTCTCTTTTTATAAAGTAAGTGCGGGGAAGAAAACTAGTGCTGCTACAACTACACATACTTCCTCGAATTATTTCAAAATATGCAATTTTCAATATAATCGCATTATTTCCAAATATGCAATTTTTTTTATTTTTTTCAAAACATTATACATGACTTTTCTTAAAGAGTTGGTTTTTAGAACAAATTTTGTTTCAGGCAAACTCTTTATCTTGAATTTTGTAGTTTTGGATTTATACATGGTTCCGATTATTGTAAATATAGTGAGCGCCTCAAATAAGTCCAGCACCATCTTTTGTACCGTTTTTTAAAAGATACAAGGAGAAAATTTAGAGAAATATTTTTCAGTTGTTTTTGGAAAAAAATTGTTTTAAAAATTGGAAAAGTGTCTACTTTTCACGCAATATAACGCGAGAACTACTCACATTTGAAAAATTGTATTAGAC